TTTTCTGGGGCCTCCGTGGTTTGTGACACTGCTCTACAATGATCGATTTCGCGACATCATCTACAGTTCCCCCCCAAAATCCTCAATGTCTAAAGCTTCTTTTCCACTAATACCTTCTCAGCTCAGCTCGACTTTTTGGGTTTCTTTACACAGAAAACAACAACTCACCCATCTCCTGGCAGAGAGCCTTGGCCTGTTCCATGCTGTAGAGTCTGTAGTTGTAGAAGCTCATGTCAAAGGCGTAACAGTGATCCTCGTGCTGAACCCACTTGGACTTACCATCGACCTGAGGGCAATGATTAGTTTCTGGGCCATCTTGTAGTTTGGCTCCTGATTACAAAAACGGAGAATAGAGGATAGACAATGGTTAATGACTAACCAAAATGAACTAAATCACAGGTAGATATCCTGCTTTCAATGTACAGTTTCACCCAAAGCCAAAAAAGATTCAAAGCTGAGTGTTTTCACTACTGTAAACCATTCAGTACTGTTGGATTATAGACAAGCTCTGTTTCATACTTAACCAAAGAAGTACCATTTTTTTTCTATGAAAGTTAGTGTCTCACTTTGGCTAGAAGAGGTAATATTGGTGGTGTAACAGATGGCGCCATCGATCATAGCATTGCAGCTGGTCCTTTTCCAGTCTCCAGCAGGGTTTATATAAACACAGTTGGTTTTCGGTGTGTCTTGGGAGTCAGAGATGGTGGGATGGTAGTCAAATTTTGTTCCATCAGACCATTCATAGGCTGAGCCACTGACCTGCACACAGAAACAAAGCATTGTGGATGTCAGGATGTTATTAAGAGGTAAAAGCAAATGGGTGAAGTGCAAACGAGATGAGTTTGGATCTACTATGATGAAGTGAATATTTTTGCTCAGTTTCTTGCTGCCAAAAGTTCTTACAGCATAGTTTGACAGGCCAATCCAGAGTGGGAAGCCATCCATCTTGGAAATGAGCCTCAGGTGTGCGTTGTGCTCCACGTCATGGATGCTTGCCAGGTGGCCTCCAAGCTTATCACATTCGACTACAGCCTGAGACCAATTCAACTTTTGGGTAACAACCCTGTATGTTAAGTTACCATACTGCTGAAAATCCATGGCTGACTGGTTGTATTCTTTCTTGGGTTCTTAGGGGAGAAGGATTAAACACATAAAGTGTTATTTTTAGCATCATGAATTTTTAGTCATGAGAACAGAAACAGGCAAATACTATTAAAATGTAGATGTTTACTATACCATAATCCAGCTTGCAGCTCACAATTGTCCTCTGCTTGAACACGGGGTGTAGCTCTTTCTTTGTGACGAGAATCCATGTGCCATCAGTCGTGAGACCGGCTAAGAATGGGTTTTCTAAATTAGGTCGGCCTTTCGCCCAGTTGGAATATTGCACATTTGTGCCATCATACCACCTTGTCTGGTTATCTATGGCAAAAGATAATCACTATTAGCTCTGGCACATACACAAACACAATAGGACCTACTGTCAGTGTCTGTATAGTATGTAAAACACGGGGCAAGGTAACATTAGCCTGCTGCTATCACAGGATCGGATTTTTACAATTGTTACTGATTGATAAAGAATGGTGATGTAACTGCAAAATGACCTAGAGACTCAGTAACCTTGCCGTTATATTGGAATTTAACCACAATACAACCGCTGATTCTGGTGCCCTATTGTAAAGAGTCACATTGTAAATAAATCGCTCTCACTGGGGCGGACTGACTCGGATTGATTGCACCATGTTGCTAATCTATTTGTGTGTATAAATTAGATGGCAGTTATTAAAAACCTTCACCAATATGTCTGAGAAAGAATCCAGTCGGACCAATTTGGTCCACGATTATTTGGACACATTGCTTCTTCCTGGGCGACCTGCACAATCAACTTGCGATCAAAAATGATCTCTCAGAGAGAGTGTGGCAAGCTCAATGTGTGGGCAACCAGCTCATTGCTGCATCTGCTTGTAATCAGTCACCAAATGCAAAAAACATTTCAATCCAATGATTGGGCCACCTCCAATTTTTTCTAGTCACAAAGATGTTCCTGGTTTTTTTCTTTGCCCTGGTGTGACTGACCCATTTGTCTTAGAGGAGAAAAAGAAGGGTCAATTCCCAAGAGCTTTGGTAACAAGACAACCAAAAATAAAACATCTACTAAACACAGGTACTCATATCTACCATTGTTATCCTTGAACAGTCCCAGCCATACAAACTGGACCAATGACTCAAAGGGCAGCAGCTGGCTCTTTATAAACTCGTTCTCTTGTGCATTTCTGATAGTCAGGATGTCTGCATCTGCATCTGAAACATATATACACACCATCATTAGTAACTTTAGCCATGCTGAAGAACGCCGTGTGACTAATATTATCAAATTCTTACGAAGTTTTTTGCAGGTATTCTCAATACGTCCTCGGTTATACGACTCCCATCTGGAGCCAACCAGCTGAAATGAGTAGCAGTTATTCTTCCAGGGGATCCAGTTTGGACCATTTTTTTTATGGGGGCACTTCACTAAAACATCCTTATGTGTGGGGATTTTGTGCTCTGTAAAAAAACCAAAGACAAAAAACAAATGGCGTAACGATGCCTTACAAGAAAAATAGATAAAAGCTTTGATACCACGACATTAAAAAGCAAAGGATGATAAAGGATAATTATCGTTTCTAGAGAAATTAGGAAGAAACTGCTTTGCAGCCAAAGAAATCAGGAACAAATTATTTTTATATTAATGTCTAGAAGCTACACTATATCGCTCAAGTGTTCGCTCATCTGCCTTCACATGCATATGAATTTGAGTGACATCCCATCCTTAATCCATAGTGTTTAATATACTGTCAGCCCACACTTTGCAGCTATAACAGCTTCAGGTCTTGTGGGCTTTCCAGAGCATTTTATGGGAATTTGTGACCATTATTTCCTGAGTGCATTTGTGATTTTAGATACTGATGTTGTACAACAAGGCCTGGCTCACAGTCTCCACTCTAATTCATCCCAAAGGTGTCCTGTCACATTTAAGTTGGGATTCTGTGCATTTCAGTCAAGTTCTTCCACACCAAACTCGCTAATCTATGTTTTTTTGGACCTTGCACTGATGTGCAGCCATTACTATATCCTCACTTACTGCTTGGTTTGTGGCAGACAGCGCCTCCTAGACTGTCCAGACACTCAGTGGCTTTCCAGAAGCCATCGGTGTCCAGGTAAACGCATTGGCCACTAGTGGCATCAGAAGACCAGCGACTGAACACAGTGTGACTTTGGTCAGTCCAGTGGTAGTGGTTCCCGTCCTGAGTGCAAAAGAGACGGGAAATCATTTTAAGGACTGTACAAGTGATGAGTTCAAACAGAAGTCCCTTTTGGTCCACTTACATCTTCGCTAAAGAGTCCAATCCACATGGGTGTTTTTGCACGGCTCACGTGCACGGTGAGGACGGATTGCATGTAGGTATCAGCCACGCTTGCCAGGTCCATGTCGGTTTTTTTGCACTCCTCTAAAGCCTCAAACCAGGTGAGATTTTTGACGAGCAGCAGCACGGTGTGGTTATTGACAACGAAAGGCTTCATGGGGACCTGTGGCTCCTCTAGCTTATCTGAAATGAGAAATAATACATGTCTTTTATCATCTCATGACAGGGCTGCAAGAGACCTGATTCTCTGTGCCTTTGTGACACAGAAATGTATCTGCTTTGCACTTTGTCTTTTAATGGAGAGATTGCTGTAGAGATACGAGAGGAAATTATAGGCGAGAGCGATGGGAAACGACATGCAAGGAAGGTCCACGCTTTTTTTTTTTTGCTCCATGGATGTCTCAGTTAATAACATTAACCCCTACACTACTATTCTAAAAAGGGCCCTACTGCAGTTTTTGCTGCTCATTTATCAGGATTTATCACATCAGGTACATCAAAGTTCACGAGTTAAGCACTCATAAAATTAAATCTCAGGATAAACATGCATGTTTTGGATGAGATTTGGATAATAACATGACAGGAGTAGAGATTCACCTGCATAGTGTTGGCAAACAGCCACATTTAGCATCTTTGTGCAGCTGGTGTAGTCCCAGGTACCCAGCATGTCAGACTTGCCGTTATGGAGCATGAACACGCACAAATCCAAACTCTCCAGATCCCATGGCTATCAAGAGACACAAAGCAAATAATTCATCTGAAGTTTGCATTAAAATAATTACCGTCATTGTCGGGCTATAAGCCGCTACTTTTTGCACAAGCTTTGAACCCTGCGGCTTTTAGTCAGCTGCGGCTTTTCTATGGATTGTCCAGGATTTTTGTGATATCGTAAGATGATTTGTTTTGTTTGTTCCGCTGTTGTACGGCACTACGTTGCCTGGTGGAAGGGCATGTGATCAGACACACAGTATCGGGGTTCAAGAGTGGTATGTTGGTCACATGTCCGTCTGCCAGGCAACGTAGTGCCGTACGAAGTAGCGCGAAAAACAAACTTCAAAGTAGCGCTACGCGTTCAGTGGGATGCGTGGATGATGAGCGGCGATAAACTTGCAAGTTATGCCCAACTCCACCAGTGGATTCTGACAGCGTGGAAAAGTGTGAAAACATCCACGATCACCAACGGAGTGGATGACGAAGCCATCCTGAGCCTGTTTGTATCCGACACTGGAGAAGAGGACTTTGGTGGTTTTAGTGCGCAGGAAGAAGAGAAAGATGGTGGTGAATGACTGACTTTTCTTCTTGTTAAAGCCGTGTCACTGCATCTGAGCCTAAAAGGTAGTCCGAATCTATTTTTCTGGTGTGCTGTAGGTTATTGTTATGTACTACATTTGTTACTCATTTGCAAATATGCAAATATGTACCCATAACTTGTTTTTCAAAATATTAATAAAAGGGGTGTGTCTCCAAACAGCCATCTCTTTCCTGACAATTCCCTTTGTGCATATTCTCTTACATATAAGTCAACATTGAAACACCTGCGGCTTTTAGTCAGTGCGGCTAATGTATGTACAAAACAGGATTTTCCCCTGATTTTAGCTTGTGCGGCTAATATTCGGGCGCGCTTTGTAGTCCGGAAAATACGGTAGTTGGAGATTTGGGTGTATTACGATAATGCAGTCATGGTTCATAACTGTACAAATACATGCGTCTGTCAAATATGTGGCGCGCCTAAAAGAGATATCAGCTGAAGCAATTTACTTACATGAAAAGCCACGACCTTGTGCATGCCCAGAAGCAGAGGGTTAAAATTTATGTAGTTCACTGTAGAACTGTCAATCCATGAAGCTTCACTGTTCTGGATTTTCATACCAATCCATGTTTTGTCCATGTCTTTTGTGTCCATCAGGAGGGTGTTGATGAAATCTGAAACACACATTTGTTACACATATGAATTGTATAATATTTTGCACCGAGGAGTTTCACATTTACACTCTTGGGGACTTCTGTCACGCTTTTCATAAACTAAAAAAACTTTGTCAAACAAATATATTTCAGCTCGTCATGAGAAGCATGTTAACGTTCTCACCTTGCTCAATCTGATCGGAGATGGTGACCAAGGTTCCCTTTACTGTCTGGCATTCCTCGTTGGCACCCTTGAAGTTAAAAGGTTTTGAATTCTTCATCAGCGTGTAGCACTGCAAAAAGACACCAGCATCATAATCACTACAGCAGAAAATGCCATTAGTGCAACTCAGGCACTGGGTTACTAATCTATAAATAAAATACGTGACTGATGGCAAAAAAGCCACATTATCAGAAATAATTTTACAACCAATGTTCTATCACTCAAGCATTAAACGAAGCATTAACATTAAAACATATAATTAAAACCCTCGCTATGAAACTGCAGTAGTAAATTTGATTTGACTTTCTTCTATGGGGATTTTTTCCTAAAATATAAACTATCATTGCTTCCTGATTTTTAATCACTTAGGACTTGTAAAAAATGACAAGAATGTAATATGTATGTAATAAATGTGTCAGACTTTATTTCTGAAGGGGATAGATTCCTTCCCACAGGGCAGTCCTCCAGGCTGAGGCTCCAGGGGGTTTTTCTCCACTAATGTCGTGTTCACTCTTTCACACACAAACGGTAACCTCCGTGAGCACTGATCAGAGTCTGCAAGTTTAAATAGGACAGTAAATGTGTGTATAAGTGTTAGAAGTAGTGACTGTAAGGGTACCCTACAGCTCTGTGTAAGGAGAGAATAAGCAAGAAGTCACTCGTGCACTATGTAATTTGGCTGAAACGTGTTTTCACTGTTTTTAATTGGAAAAGAAAAGTCAATGATTTCATTGCACTAAAAGCAATGTGATTTTTTTTTAAACACAATAGTTATTTAACTTTTAGCAGGTAAATATTTGATATGACTGCTCTTTGCTCCTCAGCACAATATGAGCATAGAGGTTCTCACAACAAATTTAAAACCTTAATCATTCTCAGCCTTACACAAACTCTCTGGTGTTTACTCACCGGGAAAGACACTTTCAGGAGTGATGTAGGTGCAGTTACCCAGGGGAAATAAATGGTTATAGAAAATAGAGTTGTACCTAAACCAAACAGAATTTCAATGAAGCTCAGTATCACATTTTACCACATCTATACAAGTTCAAAAAGGTGTGTGTGAGACTGGCTTACGTCATAGGGAATATGCGTCCAGGCTGGCTCATATCAATCCACCAGCTTTGCTTGTTGGAATCCGATATCTGTTTAAAACATGCAGGTTTAAGTGTCACACAATTGAAATTGGTGGTATCAACGTCTGAGGTGACTTATATTCCATACTGTGTTTAGTAAGTATGTATCTAAGAAGTATGATGTTGACACATATCTTTTATTAGAAGCAAGTATCACAGTTGTTACAGGTTAATAGGACTTATGCCCCCTTTTTCTCTAAATAAATAAAAAAAAGTGTTGAAACTTCTGTTTAATTGTGAGTAGCTAACTGTATATTGTGCTCCATAAATGAGTCATTTTCTTTTTTGACTTTTCAGTGCTGGAAGATTTGTCATTCATATTGTTATCCATTTACAGCTTTTCACAACCTGAATATAGTGGGAAGAATTCCTCTTGTGATCAGACTTCTTCATTGTTAGCTGCCCATTTATTATTAGTTAGATTGTATAAATGATGATTATGAAAAATCTTAACAAAGCAAGAAATAAAAACAGAGGTTTCAAGGTTGTATTTCAGCAAATGTGATCCTTCTTTAGTTCTCTGCATAGACAATTTATGTGCAGTTGAAGCCTACTCAAGCTTGACTGGATGAAATAACTAGAATCAGGAAACTTCCAGCACTAATTTTTTCCCTGCCTGACAAAACTTGCTGATTCATACCGATATCTGCTTAAAATGAAGAAGAACTAAGTACCACCTTACTGTCTCTATAGCATTTAAGAGTGTAAGTAGCAGCCAGGTGCTGGCAGAACATGGAAATACAGTTTAAGACTGCAAAGCTGCATCTGAACAAACCACAAGACATCTGGGGGAAATGACCTTTGGAGAGAAGAGCCAGAATTCACATCTGATGAAAAACAACCACAGCACCATAAACACACCAACTGTCAAGCACGGTGGTGGAGGGCTGAATTACTTGGGCCCCTTTCTGTCAGTGAGTTGACCATGAACTCTTCTGTATACCAAAGTATTCTAGAGTTAAATGTGACTCCGCGTCTCTAACAGCCTTGTTCAGTTGGCCCAAAACGGGTCAAACAATTGGACAATGCTTCAAAGCAGAGCAGCAAATCCACAACAGAAAAGAATCAAAGTGTTGCAACGGCCCAGTCAAAGTCAGGACCTCATCCTCAACATCAATGTTAATGCGGGACCTCAAGGAGCAAAAAGAAATGAGAATGCTGCTCTTGTTATGCTTGTCTCAAATGAACAGTCCAATATTTCAAAATAAAATCAAAACTTCAATCAAACATTTCTGATGATGTTGTTTGCCACTTGTAATAGTGTGCCACTTACTGTATATATTGCATTTTGGATTTTAATAGCAGCATCGGTGCTAGTTGGAGCCGCCAGTGTGCCGTTCTCTGAATCGCAAAAGAGCCTCGCCTCCTGAAAACTGAGCGGTGGCTTATTAACAAACCAAAACTCTGCTCCATCCACAAAGATGGACGAGTCATGATGCCCATCTGAAAAACAACACAAACAACTCTAACGTTACAACACAAAAGAAGAAAAAGTTTAAAAAAAAAAAGTCAGACTAATGATAAATGGCCTGCATTTATATAGCGCTTTACTCAGTCCCTAAGGACCCCAAAGCGCTTTACACTACATTCAGTCATTCACCCATTCACACACTGGTGACGGCAAGCCACGTTGTAGCCACAGCTGCCCTGGGGCGCGCTGACAGAAGCGAGGCTGCCGGACACTGGCGCCACCGGGCCCTCTGACCTCCACCAGTAGGCAAATACGGGGTTAGTATCTTGCCCAAGGATATTTGGGATGCAGCCAGGAGGCAGCCTGGGATCGAACCACCGACCTTCTGGTTTGTGGCTGACCTGCTCTGCCACCTGAGCTACAGCCAATGATAGATGCAATCACACTGAACAAATGATGATGAGGGCATTACCGGGATTGTACCACTCTGGCGTTTTCGGTGTCACTCCTATTGAGACATCAAACAAAGAATTCAAGTAGATTTAGTCCATCAGGTTTTTAAATTATACGGAGACATCACTGCTGTACAAATGACTCTTTCACTTTGTGGACCTTCAAATTCCTGTTAATTAGCTTAATGAGTGTTTTGAGCTCTTCCCAAACCAGTACCAGCCTTTATTTGGTGCACACACAGACTATACGTCATTGGTCACAGATATAAGCTCACCTCGGGGTATTTGGCAGACCCATTCCAGCTGCGCGTCACAATGAAAGGGTCTGGGGTAGAAAGGTATGGGAGGCAAGTCGTGCACCAGATAGTAAAACACGTGTTTCAAGCTGTTCGTCATTGTCTGAGGACACAGATGGGTTTTGCACAAACATCACCAATAATGAACAAAAATCGGCAACACAATTCTGACATCACAGATCATGTTCACTGTCTGTTTGAGAAGAAAAAAAACATACAAGAGCTGTTTGTGTCTGACAACATGAAACAACTTTTAATGCTGAGCTTTTGGAAGAGAAAGAATAGAGACTACAGATTCTGAAAAGCCCACGACTGTATAAGCCAAATGTTTCCATCTTTATTAAAAGTCTCAGTTTAGCGACCCACCTTGAATGCAGTGCAGTCCCGATCGTACGCATCGTCCTCGTAGAAATTTCTGTATGAAATATCTAGAGATACCTATTAAAGACACAAACATGATATGAAACACTCCACCAGATTTTACAAAAATTGGGGTACGTGTGTTTAGAGCTGGGATGCTCACGGGCCGGCCGTCACTCCACTGCCACGAGCGATCTGCGGGGTTTCTCCTGTTCAGGCCGATCCAGAAGTACCGATTATTACTGCAAGAAGAGGAGGACACTGTGTTACTCAACCAGCCTTCTTTCAAGTAGGAAGATAATAATTAGAATTAAACATTAAGACAGTTTGATGTTTCACGTAAGCTTTTATTTCTCCCCCCTCGCTGACTCAACTGCAACGTGCAAAATGTGAGACCGGAGATGGTATGTGTTTATTTCAATGCTCGAGCCGAGTGCGCTCGATGTTTATGTGAGCAAAGAGACAAGTTTGAACTCTTAGGTATGCTCCCACGAAGCAGCATGTTTACAAGTCGTCTCCTCGTTAAAGCGACTAGATGTGCCGGTCCGATAAAGAAAAGGCTGCCGGTACACACCCCACCACCTCCCGTACACACTCTTTTGTTTGAAGTGTGTATAAAGGTTAAAGCCATAACGAATATTGATTTGTTCATACAGGAAAGTTCCAAAGACTCCTATCAGACATGAGTTTGACACATTGTACATGTTAGAAAAACAGAAAACTATAGAAGGACAGATTCTTCAGCATGACCAAGCCATTAACAATATAACTGTTATAAATGCTACACCACTTTAGCATTAGTGTTTCTATTAATAGAACTTGAGCTACTACGGTTCGAGCCGTTTTCGTTGTTGTGTCCTTGGGCAAGACACTTCACCCGTTGCCTACTGGTGGTGGTCAGTGGGCC